GTTAAATTTTATGATACCCGGGCACACAAAATTTATTTGTGATAGTTGTTTTGGGTTGATTAAAATTCTTTATTGGAAGAGCAAAGTAAACACAGTAGATGATGTCATTTCAATTATTAATCGTTCAACATTAGTTCATCTTAATACTACACAGCGTTATTTAAATAGTGAAGGTTTTCAATACTATAATTTTAAAGTTTATTTTCAAAACTTTAAAAAAATACAAAACATTCAACATTATTATCATTTTTATTTTACTTCTCAACATCCCGAAGTAGTGTTCCATAAAGATAGAATTGAAGACGATTACAAAAATACTATAATTTGATCTTTTTTTTTTTATTTAAATATTCTTCCTCCAACTATTAATACTAAATTGCTTTCTTTAAAAAGGCAGGAGGAGTTATATAAAGAAATTTCACAGTACGTTGATTTACCTTTTAGAGAAATTACATGTTCTAAACCAGATAAACCTAAAACAAATTAAAAAAACCCGATCAATATACCAATATAACAATAGTGAAAACAGATACGTATATATGTAAGTAAATTAATAATTATATTACGATAACATCTTATTATATTGTGATACTGTTTATAACTAAAATAATTTATCAATTTATTGATTAGTAGTTTGTGAAACATCTTTGTTCAACTTTTGTAAAATATTTGTCAAACTTTTTAAGATAATCGTGATATATCAAAAACTAGATTTTTGTTCTACATATATAAATAATTTTGATTAAGTAAATTGTTCACAGTGTCAAATTTTACATATTTTTAAATTTTTATAGAATTCATATAAATAACTTCTTATAACGAATCTTTATCTATTCGCTACTACAATATAGCACTTTAGAATAAAAATTATCATTTTATTAAATTAACTATATCTAGCGTTCTAGTAATGGAAATTTGGTAATTTTTATATCATTTGATTCGTCATATCAAGACGAATTGAATGATATAAAAATCAACAAATTCCAATCACTGAGTCACGAGATATTATCAATTTATTATAAATTTGCACGTATAATAATCATAAAATTTCAAATGTGATTTACACAAAATTCCGAAATTGGCCGATCCCCCTTTTGCTGTGGGGGGTCCCATATTTTCTAGATTTTTTTATAAAATTTTTCAATACAAAATTTTCATGTTAGTGTTAGTATTTAGAGTTAAAATTAGGGTTTAAAAAGGGCTTTCAGAAGCATAGAGCATTTTTACTTAGATTATCTTGCACCAATTAATTAGCCAGTTTTTAAGATAATACATATATACATAGATGTAAAACACCATAGATGCGTTTTAATAAAAGTCTATTATAATACTGTATATATAAAATTCATAAAAATAAAAACAATTATATATGGTGCTAAACACTATAGGTGCATTTTATAATACTGTAATTGAGTTAAATAAACAAATAAAACTTTGCTTTTTTTGTGATGTACGGGATTTTTAACCCTACTTTTAATTCTATTCAGTATTCGTAAATTTTTCAGATACATACGTATCAGGTTTTTGTTCACGTTAAACAAGTAGTTCAGTAGTTAAGCAATGATTAACCTCTAAAAAATTACCTAATTTAGTTAAAATCAGTTGTATTTTTGAATTCGTGTACGTAAATCCCGATCGGGTGGCTTGGTACATAAAAAGCGAGAAATGAGAGACAGGCTATGCGAATATCGGCAATGTCACACAAATTCGTTTCACTTTTATTCTAAAGTACATACATATGTAAAGCTTTAAAACTTAGCCTTCTCTTTATTCTCGTAAATCGAAGACATTCCTTTCTGTAATGATTTGCAACAGCATAACATTTTTGTTGAAGTTCACAATATGGCTTATCGCGATAACAAGGATTCAAGCTCAACAAACAATACAGTTGTTAGATACATACGACGGACACATTAATTCAACAACTTCATATGTGACGTTTATTTACACTCCATCAGGGGTATCTGACAAAACTGGTGGACTTTCAAAAATATTTGCTATGGCTAAAAGGCAAGCTGCTAGTACCACTGCAACGATCGCACCTGGATCAACAACGAGCGCCATAGTAAGCAAGCCAACCCAACTACCAATAATTGGATTGCCTAGGAAAATATATATCTCAATATTAATTTGCAGGATACCCACTGGATCTGCAGAAATGCCGAGAGTCTTTGTTTCTACAGACTCTTCACAAAGCCTACCTAGACCTAATGCGAGCAACACACAAGAAATATTCATTAAAAATGGATTAGCAAATTATACAGTTACAATTCCATATACATACATTGGAATACTTTATCCAAATAAAACCGGCTTAACCGGAGATTACTATTATTCAATTGGAGCCTCGACTTTAGGTATTTTAACA